ACACACACACACACACACGCACACCCACACCCACACACACACACACACACACACACGAAGACGCCACAAAAGGCAATGGTGAAATCCTTCTCGGACGCTGCGTAGTTTAGACACGAAACAAGAGGACGACGACACGTTTTGCAATAGCAGTTAATTGTACAAGCCCGATCATAAACAACGGTTGTTTATGATCACGTTTCCCCCCGTGGACTCTCACCACCGCGATGGAGAATGCATTCCTTTAAAGAGAGAGCCTAACAGTGACCACAGTAATAAAAAAGCAGATCAACACTGCCGCCAATGGAGGCAACATCAATTTCAGAAACGGGATCATGACATCAAAACACGAACATTGAAAAGACACCGTAGCCGAAAGAAGCACGACCTACGCGAGTACATGTGAGCAACACAAGTAGCTCCCAAGATTTCATATTCCTAGACTGAAGAGAACAACACAAGACCCCGCCCTTCCGTCAGCCTAGGCTTGCATGCACCGACGACAACCCCTTTGGCCTCCCACCCGAACCCCTCCACCCCCCCTCCCGCCCCCTGCCCCACCCGGAGGGATGACGTCGCTAATCGAATTTCATCCGCTTCGCATCATGATCCTTTCCAGGATCGTTATCAACCTGAAGAATGACATCGCTAATCCAACGTCATCCGCTTGCCAACGTGTCCCTCAGAATGAGCGCATCACATGTTGAGCTTTTCATGCACATTGGGCGTAGGGGTCGTTGAATCCCGGGGTCCACACGACACCGCACTCCATTTGCGTCCACCTCCCACAACAGATTCTCGTCAAATGGAATGCCAATGTCGATGAGGATGTTGTGGAGGATGCAAAGGGCTACGAGCTGTTGAGGCAAGGTCTCCATATTCGTCTTTTGCATCCGCAAGAACAACTGCCTCATCCCCTTCGGCCTTCAGATAGCCCTTTCCACAACACCTCTCGCCACCTTCTGCTTGTTGTCGAGGCGCTCCTCCACAGGGTGCCTACCAATGCCTCCGTAGGGAACAACAGTCCATGGTGACGGAGGATAGCCATTGCCGCCCAGCAAGTACCCGTTTGTCTGCACTTGGAAGGGGAGCATCACCGGCGACCTCGAGAAAAGATTGCCAGCGTCTGCACACACCCACAAACTTGACAGTTAGATGACCCCGACGTCATGGCAACTTCCTTGCTAGCCAACGTGAACGTCCAGCACACGTAGATTCAGATCAACAACTACCTGCGCGACAACTGAGGAACGCCATGTACGATTTTAGTAGTCCTCGCAGGGGGCGTTTGCTGGCTTGTCGATGTAGATGTGAGTACAGTCGATGCACCCGTGGCAGTCCGGGAATCCTTTGTCAGCGAATGCTCGCAGGATGACCAACTTGCACACCCCCATCGGCTAGGATATCTTAGCCAGAGACCAGGCCATTAACGCCGCCGCTACGTCTCGGGTCGCCACTAGACCAGAAGCTCTCCCGATCCCGAAGTTGCATGTGCTACTTTCGTACGTCTGCCCTAATGCCCACCTGTATAGAGGATAAGCGATGATGTGATCAGGCTGCAACGTCTTCCCGTAGAACATCACACTCCTCTGCAGATGAGGTGACAAAGCTTCAGTGACCTCCCAAAATACACGTGGCGACATATGCAGCTTTTCCCGAAAGTACCCCTCTGTGGCATCGTCGCATTGCCTGAGATCCTCCCACACCCCACCCGTTTTCCTTTTCATCCACCATCTTAGTCGTGGAAGAACGCCACAACCCATGGCGCAGCAAACGTGGAGTACAGCCTCGGTGCCGGCAACGGTATCCAGCCCATCAACCGGGGCTCCCTGTGCCGTCGTCCTCCTCCGCGCGCGGATCTGCACTCTGATTCTGCCCAATGCCCTGTCTTGCCGACAATGAAAGAGCGCAGTCATCATGGCCGCCACAACGGCCATCTTCTCGATCGTCGTCAACTTCGCACGTCCATCGTCGCCGCCGAACTCCATCACCACGTGTCGTCGCAAAACGGAATCAACAGCCGCACACAAAAACCTGACGATTACGCCGAAGACGACGTTAACCTCACTGCGGAGTCATCACGTACATCCCCACCCTGTCGCCGACGTACAGCGAACGGTTGTTGGCAGGAGGCGGCGATGGCGATCGACATTCGCGCTGCGGGCCACCAAAGACTGTGCACCACGTACGACGATGCCAATACGCCGCTGGAGTGCCCAATTCCACTGTACGCCAGAAGGGATGCCACCTGCACTTCGTCGCCGTCGTCACGTCCATCACCGCATTGGAAATTTGAATTTCAAACCGGGAGGTCCGCTCTGATTTTTCTGCTTTTTTTTTTTTTTCTGGCTCCAGTGCCCTCTGGGCATGCTTGGCGCCCGCCACCTTGAGATAGCCCGTTGGTCCCCCCAATTGGCATTTAAAAGCAGTCCCTGCTGATGTTCATAGGGGGAGGGGTAATCAGGGAGGCGCAGCAACTGTCCACTCAGATGATGCTCGATCCCTCTGCTACCGACTGTCCCCTGGTCGGTGTCCCCCATTGGGGTTTTCCTGAAGGCAATCAAGGCCACCCGATGTCAGATTAGACACAATATTGAAAATTTGTGGGCTGGTTAGTCCGATGATAATACCTCAAGGCCATTGCCCTTTAAAAAAATAAAAATAAAAAAATTCCCCTCTTCAGCAGCTGGACCACGCGAGATGGACACGGCCCAGCGGACCAAGGGATGCAAATCCAGTGGCGGCCGTTTATAATCCTATGAAGTGGGCCTCGGGGGGCCAAATAGAATCGTCCTCGGAAGGCCACGCCGAGGATAGGTGGAGCGACGGAAAGATTTCCCTCCGAAACTCCAAAGGAATTCGGGCCCGATGATGCTGTAAGGACTGTCCAACGAGCCCCTTAGTTCTCTCCCACGAAAGCAAAGATCCTTACCTGGCTTCGACTAAGAACAATCCGAGAACTCTTTTTTTTACCAAAATCAATGCTATTTGAGGTAAGAGAAAACTACGGCACAGTCAGGGTTACAGTTTGCAATTGCATTTTGAACTGCTTTTTCGCAGTTTAGACAGGGCCCAAGTTTCAATTGCAGTTGAAACTCGGGCTGACCTTTTCTAGCAGTCCAGTCAGGCACATGGCCGTTTTTTTTTTTTTTTTTTCCAGTCGCGCGCCGCCCCGCGGCCATTTCTTTC